TTTATGGATTTTTGGCACAATTTTTAAAGTTTTTTTATAGTTTCTTCAATAATTTAAGTTCTTTAACTTGTAGTTTCGGTCCCACACTTTACCCCCCACCCTACATCAAAAACAAGAGACTTGTGTGAAACTGTTGACGTGATGTGTCAAGCTGAAAAGGAGGTTGGTCTTTACTTAGTCTCTACTTTGTTTTTACGGCAAAACTTTACCAGAGCCTAAAAAATACATTGTTCAGTGGACCAAGAGGGAACACGGGGCACTGTCATTAGAAACAAGTTATCATATGGGGGGGGGGGGGGGGGGGGGGGGGGGGGGGGGGGGGGGGGGGGGGGGGGGGGGGGGGGGGGGGGGGGGGGGGGGGGGGGGGGGGGGGGGGGGGGGGGGGGGGGGGGGGGGGGGGGGGGGGGGGGGGTGGGGGGGGGGGGGGGGGGGGGGGGGGGGGGGGGGGGGGGGGGGGGGGGGGGGGGGGCTATGATTTGTAGAGGACACAGTTTTTGTATCTGTAAACCACCACAGTTGGTTTTACATCAGACAATTAAGGTGTGAGTGCAGACGTGTGAGTTTCAGCTTTATTAGAAAAACCTTTGCATGAACTTTTTGGGAATATTTGGATATTTTTATGCACATCCCCAAATTTTTAGAGGCTTAAAAGTAAACAAGTTAAAATGATTTTGAATGTTTTTAATACTTGAATGAAAACAAGACCAAATGCTGCATTTTTACAGGTTTTTACTGCCGTCACCTTCAGTTGTTGCTTGTGGGTCTCTCTGCCTTCTGTTTTCTATTTAATAACTGAAAAGCTGCCCTGTTGGGTTGAGATCAGCTGACTGGCTGTTAATTCCATTTCTTCACCTTGAGAAACTCTTGGGTTGCTTTTACTGTCTGCAGCTGCTGTTATTGGGTCACTGAAGGATCTGTCCTAATCTGAGCAGAGCGTATAACCATATACACTTCATAATTCATGACTGCTATCAGCAGTCACGTGATTAATGAACACCAGTGACCCAGTTCCACCAGTGACAATGACACGCCCCGAGAGTGTTCTTGACATGGTTAGATGTTGTAAAATAGTTTTCTGAACAATGGACAGAATTCTGTGATCATGCACTTCAGGCCAGTCCATTCATTGATTTTACCAGACTGTTGATTTTTTACTTGCTCTCTCTCTTCTTTACAGTGAAAAGCTCTATAATACAAATTCAGCACTTTGAGTAAATTTCTGATGTCTGCTTCATTTGTAATCAAGTAACAAAGAAGCGGGCCTGACCATGAAACTGCTTTGTCCGCTGAAAATGAGAGACTGTGTATAGAAACTATGGTCTCATAGTACCTGTGAGACCAGGCTGCTATCGTCCTGTAAGAAGCAACTGGATATGCATGAAGGCAAAGGCAGGGAGACAGATGTGTGCACAGAAATACAAAAGACACAAAGATTTGTAGTGACTGTTTATCAGTTTTGGGTTTTTCTCATCGCTCTCTGCCTGCAGCTGTCAGCCTGGATATGATCACACTTCTCCTCCTCTGCTTCACTGAAGCATATTTCTCTCTCTGTAGCCTCGCGGTGCCTCCTCCACTGACTGAACACAGTGATCTCAGCACTTTCTTATCAGCTCACACGCTCGCATTCACCCTCCTACACTGTGTGTTTAAACAGCGTTAAATACACACTCTTTTGCCTCTTTGATATTTTAAAGCTTCTTAAAGTGACTTTAAAGGAGCAGGTGGGATTTTTGTCCTGCTTCAGTCCATTCTCTGCGAATCCTGTTTACATCGCAGTCCTGCCGAGTGCAGGCCAGTTTATTTGTTCAGGCTGTGTCTGAGCTGCAGGTCGACGGCAGCACGAAAAATTCTCATGCAGGTTTTCTCACGTCGGGGCAGCCTCTGTTTAATTAACTTTCAGCTTCATTTGAAGCAGTACGTTAATCCGCCAGAGTCAGTGATAAAAGCCAGCTGCATTTTTAATATTTTCAATATATAGTTTTATATCAGATTATATCCTGTCCATTCATAGTGTGCACTGAACCAGCCAACAGGTGATTTAGAAATATTATGTGTATAAAAGTTCATTTCAGCTCATAATTTTTCAACTTTATAAATTTATGCTCACATTAGGAACCCTTTTGTTCATTTTTGTACCTTTTTATATCTGTATTTTATTTCTCTATGACTGCTTTTCGTTGCTTTTTGGTCATCTTTGCCCATATTGCATATCTTTGTGCTCATTTCTTATTGTTGCCGTTATCATTTTTTAAACTTCTTTTAGTCATTTTGTGTCACTTGCTCATTTTACAAGTGGTTGCGCCCATTTTTTTGCCATTTTTATGGTTGTTTGTGCATCATAAGTCAGTCAATATGCAGTGTTTTTGTTCTACATACCCCTAACAGCTGCTGTCTTTGTTAAACTGGGTCATGTGAGCAGGTTACTGTAATCAGGTGAGCTCTCTGGCCTTCAGTCACTTCATGTTTTATCTCCTAGACTTTACAACCTGAAACTCTGCACACAGTCAGGCGTTGGGACTCGGTGGTGGTTTCAGGGTCATCGGTTTGTGTATTTGCTGGTCATGTGACCACGCAGTCTGTTCAACCGGAAACGTTTTTTTCTTTTTCATTTGTCTTCCATTTTCTTTGTTCTCAGCGATTCAATGATTAGTGTCTCTGAGCTAGAAAATCTTTCTGAGAATTTCCCCCCATGGTCCTCCCTCCCAGAGATTTCAACACTGGCTTGGATCAGTGTGTGTGTGTGTGTGTGTGTGTGTGTGTGTGTGTGTGTGTGTGTGAGGACTGTCCTCACTTTAAAACAGACATTTAAAAGGATTTTTAAGGTTTTACATTTGGTTTCGAGCTTCAGCTTTAGTTTATGTGCACTTAGTATGCGTGTTACGATAGAAATAATACAAAGGCATAATTCTGTATGTGATACCACACTATGGGGACTTGAACAGGTAAATAATTTAATGCTACATCTTTGGTTTAAGGTTAGCTTAACTTCTGACCAGTGTGAATCTCCAGAAATGACTTTAAACACTACATTGGTGAACTTGGCTGTTACAAAAACAAACTCCTACAAATGTTTTTCCATCAGTTTAGTGATTAAAAAGGAAAAAAGTTCAGAGCAGGATCGAGCTGAGATTAACTGGTTCTAAACAAGATTTAGTATTGGTGCAAAGTCCACCAGTGATTAATGAACGTGCTCAGATAGGCGCACCTCAGAGTGCCTCCATTGTGACAAATTTAAATATATATTTATATTTGATAGTAGGGATGGGAGAACTGGCTATTGTAGGAAACCGGTACCCAGTAGTCCAGGTCCTATCGATCCTGCTTATTGGTTCCTGCACTCGCACTACAATCAGCTGATGTCAGTTCGCGTGCCAGAGGAGGAAAATAGTGACACAGTCTGGAGTGTGGATGTGGACATTTATTTTTATTGCACAAAAGGATGAGATAAATGGTAAAGTGTAAAACTGCATCCAGGACAGAAACAACCGCATTATGCTGCTAACACAACTTCGATGCAAGCATCTGCCGAGACAGCTTTATATTCTACAAAGAGAAAGATCTTAGAGACGTGTGTGTCCTCATTAGGGACTTGTGTTGGTGTGGGGTTGCAGCCTCAGGTTTATATTTTTAAATGGTGATAATGAGACATTGTGCTTCAGCCATATTACAGAGTAACATGAAAGTAACGAGTGTAATGAGAACTTTTTCCCAGGAGTAAATAACTGCATCATTTTTAAGAAAAGTGTTCTGTGTAATATGTGTAATAATGATTTCTTGAGTAACAACTCCAACACTGATCATAACAAAGAGGTGAAATAACACGCACAAACATTTGACGACAGCATGCAATTAATTTGCATGAATATTATTTCTTTATTGCTGCTTGGTGGTGGCTCAACCCAATGAGAATCGATAAGGAATCAAGTCGATAAATGATATTGATAATGGAATCAGAATCACTATATTCTTATCAATTCCCTTCCCTATTTGGTAGCATGGCTCGACTATGTACATATGTGAAAACCCCAGAGGCAAGGAGCGCAGAAGCACAGCACACAGAACAGGCGTCAGTAACAACACGACATGGATTCATTCAGAAAAGGCCATAGCAGGAGTGCCTGGGGTGGAGGTGGGTTGCAGAACGGATTGCACATGTGCAGCAACTTTACAAAGATTAAAGCAACTCAAAGAGTACTTTCTTTAGGAAATTTGTGTCAAAGGTTTTCAGTTTGATTCAGTTTTCTGTTTAGAAATAGTGCACGTTGTACTGTGCTGTGGTTTCCCTCCTCCCCACTAACACTGCTACTGCCTGCATCACTTTCTCTTCATGCTAGAAATGGGAACTAAAGTTGCCAGAGTCCCAGTCTTTATATGTCTTGGCAGGTGGGCAGGGCTACTTTAATCAGGTGCACCATTAGTCTTAGTTTTGAGGACAAAATTACAATTACAGGCAAGTGTACATTATACTCAAACGTTGCTCTGTCCAACCTCATCAACGCGTTTCTGTGACGGTGTTCGATCGATCCTGCCCTCACAGGACGCCTTTGGGTGTCATACAAGAGTGAAAACCAGATCACTGCTGTGTGCGAGTCTTTGTTTCTTTGTTTCTACTCTGTGCTGATAGACAACAGTCATGTGACCACCACAGGTCATACCAACACCCTGCAGATGGTGTTAATGTGGTTTGACTGTGGGTCTTTCTGCTCCTTTATTTAGCTGCACCAGCTGGTAGTTCAGCCAAGCAGAGTGAACAGGCCTCAATTATTAAAACTGAAGCACATGTATTATTACACAGCAGCGAGGAGAGAATACACAGCGCCGGCTAAAGTCTCACAGTTCTGAGTAAATCCTGTCCTAAGCGTTAATTGTACTTTTTGGAAAAATATTTGGCAGGTTTCAGTGTTCTTATTTGTCATTTCAACTCAGCAGTCTGTACCAAAAATATCATGATTTGTCCAGGTGATGTCTGACCATGTGACCTCTTTCTCTCCTTTCTCCAGCCCCATCGCTGATGTCTCACCGGTTCGTGACGGTGCGTCGTGGCAGCCCGGCGGCTCGCAGCGGGCAGATCCAGCCCGGAGACCAGCTGGAGGCGGTGGAGGGTCGGCCGGTCGCAGGTCTACAGCACCGAGACCTGGCCCAGATCCTGAGGAGAGCCGGGAACACACTGAGGCTGAGCATCACTCCTCGACACCGTATGAAAAAACACAGATACACTAAAAACACTTATACCTACAGTAAGGCCAGTAACTGTAAATAAGCCTTTTAGCTTCCTTTGCTTCACTTTTAAGCCAGCTTTCTTCTGATTGGTTACCTGAAGTAAACAAAGCAACTGAGCAGCAGGCGGGGCTTCTGTGCAGCTGGTTCTGGTTTCTTCCTGTTAAAAGGGAGTTTTTCCTTCCCACTGTCGCCAAATGCTAGCTCAAAGACGGTTGTGTGATGGGGTTTCTTTATAATATTATAGGGTCTGTAGCTTACAATATAAAGCACCTTGAGGGGACCGGTGTTGTGAAATGGCACTGCATAAAGAAACTGAACTCTAATTACTGCTAAGCCTGTGAAAGTGGAGCTTGGACATCAAATACTTTACAGAGAGCTCTAAAGTTAGACACAAGGACATCACAGTATTATAGCTTATACTTGTATGGCTGCTACACTAGCCGTGTCTCTCCAGTCAGACACTAAAATGTTTTCCTTAGAATAATATTGCTTCAGCCTCTAATATCTCTGCCTCTCCCTCTATGACAGCTGAGGCTCCAGCCCCCCTGCAATCCTGAATTGACTAAGCAGTTACGAAAGTGGATGGATGATGAAATATTTTTCCTAAACTGCTTAAATTAACAGATTTTGTACTGAAAGATAACACTTATCTTTCACGTCTTGGTTGCCTAATTCTTAAATCTACTGTGATGGTAAATAGAGTCATCTCATCTCCCTTCTCATTGTCTTTTTCACTTCTTCCAGATTCCTCTTCCCTGACCGAAGCCGCAGATCTGGACATAGATGGTCGGATGATAAAAGGACCCAGAGGGAGGTCAAAGGTCGGTTTAACTTTTGTTTTGTTGTAATATTACTTTGATCGGCGACTGTCATCTTAAGCCTTCTTCACACATGAATTGCAGCCCTGAATTTGTCTTGACATGTGGTGCATGTGAGTGCACAAATGACCAGGTGTAGGTGTTCCACTTTCCGCACATCCTACCGAGGACAGGATGTGCAGGAAGCACCACCTAAATCAGAAAGTGTTTCCAGCTGTGCAAAAGTGTCTGAAGCAGAGCGCTTCCTGCTGTGTGCTACATTTACATCTAAATTGTCTGAAGTTTACACTGGAAGACAGCTGTACTGTGGGACTGTCATTAAAGAGGCAGTACTGTTTAGTATCAGCAGTATTGTCTGTCTGTGTCCAGCAGGAGGAGTCAAAGTTCTACAGCGTGGACCTGGAGCGAGGTCCTACGGGTTTCGGTTTTTCTCTGAGGGGAGGCAGTGAATACAACATGGGACTGTATGTACTCGGGCTGATGGACGGGGGGCCAGCCCAGCGCAGCAACAAGATACAGGTACACGTGTACTCGTACTATTTAAATACACATACAGGTGCAAAATGCAAAATCCTGTTCATCATTTTAGATTTAGGTTCAGGCTGAGGTGTCAGTCGTTAGCTGTTAGTCGTTAGCTGTTTCACAACAAAAGTCTTAGTGAGGAGACCGAATTCTTGTTTTTATTGTGAAAGAGGTGCAGGAAGTCTTATTGGGGTTTTTTTCTTATTTATTTTAACAATAATCGAACCTCCTAATTAAAACCCTTCATTAATACTTTAATGCAGGTGAATCTATATGAGAGGAAAATCAAATCTGTACACCTTAAACATTAATGTGAACAGACGATCACAGGCATCCATTAAAAACATTTGGACATATTTCAGCGTCCTGATGAAACGAATGCGATGAGAAGTCTTTTCTTGACTCGGTAGAATAAACTCTGACAGTGAAACCATGAGCCTGATCCAGGACTTTCTCAGAGTTTCCGTCAACTGTTCGATTAGTAGATGACACCTTCTACCTGCTGAGCTGCAGGAGAGAAGCCTCCCCAGTGTTACTGCGTTTGTGCTGTGCAGAGATTCAGAGATGCTCTATTAAATCTACTGATGATTCGTCTGCAGAAACGCTCTCTGTGATCTGTCATATCTGGTACTGTTAAAACACACGACACCGCTGAGCCAAAACACTGACCTCCAGGGGAAGTGAACATCGTTGGGTGTCAGGTAGGGACAGTCCAAGTCTGCAGGGGTGAGGACTCACCTCAGACTTGTTCATCACTCAGGATCTCCGCCCCCCAGAGGCCGAAATAGCCAACCTTTCTGAACAGTTCAAATCCTGACAAACTTCTGGGGACTTAAAGGATCTGCTGCTGATACATATGGAAGTCCAGTCCCACTGGGAAGCTCGGAAGTCAATTCTTGGCTGGTTCAAGGTGATGCCAAATTTGTGGAGAAAAAGTGGAGACTCAGAGTTGGTGTGATTGATGCTGGATCGGGTCTAAACGTGTTTCCTATATGAGCTGAGCTTTGGGCACAGTGAAACAGCAGGAAATGCAGCGGAGACGTTTCCACTCAGACAAACATCACTCAGGATCTCCGTCAAGTCGTTCTTTGTGATATTAAACCTTCTGAAATATTCAGAGCTTCACTTTGTGCCTGCAGCTCTGAGACTCCGATCATCAAACATTCAACATCGCAGCTGCTCGAATCGTTCTGCTTCCTTTTTTGTTGTTCCACAAAAAAAGAACTTCACAAAATGCTCTGCAGCAAATGTAGCGCCCCCCAGAGGCCGAAATAGCCAACCTTTCTGAACAGTTCAAATCCTGATGACTCAAACCACCTGAATGTGTCATGTTTGTGCAGCATCTGTCAACTGCAAGTTGAACGTTTTTAAATGACACTGAATTATGAACTGGATAATAAACAAAAGTGAAATAAAGTAAATATCTAAACAGTTTAAGCAGCTTTAGCACTTTAGATCTAAGAAGTAAAATATTGGACTGAAATATGGACTGAAAATAATAATAATAATCTGATCTGTAATTGTCTCTCTGATGTCTTGCAGCTGAATGTAGTTTTCAATACTGTCAGCTTCCTCAACAATCTACACAAAGACTTTTTCATTTCTGATGATTGCACATGCCCCTGCAAAGGATGTTTGTCGGTGCCTGAAACAACATATACTCAGTTTTATGCTTTATGCACTTTCCTCCTGATGGTAAACAAGGTGTCACCGTGTGTTGCAGGTGTCCGACCAGCTGGTGGAGATAAATGGAGACAGTACAGCAGGAATGACTCACAGTCAGGCCGTTGAGCAGATCAGAAGAGGAGGACATCGAATCCACCTCGTCCTCAAGAAGGGAAACGGATACGTGCCCGACTACGGTGAGACTTCACATGACACAGCTGAGAGAAAACTGGGAGACATTCTCTCTGCTAAGACTTCAGTTTCAAGTTCTTCTTGATCCTCTCTGAATTCTTTAATCTTTTATATCTTTTAATAAAAATGGCACACGGTGAAGTTTGACCCCAAAGCATAGGAGGATCACTGAGTCACTCTGGGCGTGTGTCCAGGGGCACTCTGTCTCATTATCCATCTACAGCTTACAATCAGCAAGATTAATAATAATCCTGCTGACAAATACACAGATAAACCAGCAGCACTGAAAACTGCCTGGACTCTTTACTGACTCACTTGCTCTATTAAGACAAGAGACTGAGGAAATAGCCGGGAAAGCTCTAACTTTCACAGCCTGCCCACAGCAGCTGAAAACTAACTTGTTCCAGGAGAGTTTGCATTTTCTGACCTCACAAGGTCAGAATTTGTGCAGAAAATCGCTTTTGTGTCTCTAGCAGCAGGGTTGCCAACAAATCGCTACAGACCTTCAAACTTCATGTGGCCTTCCGATTAGCTCAAGATCAGTACATAGAGAGCTTCCAGGAATGGGTTTCTATGGCCGAGCAGCTGCATCCAAGGCTTACATCACCGAGTGCAATGCAAAGGGCTGGATGCATTGGTGTAAAGCACGCTGCCACTGGACTCTAGCGCATAGAGACATGTTCTCTGGAGTGATGAGTCACGCTTTTCCTACTGGCCTGCTGATGGATGAGTTGGGGTTTGGTGGTTGCCAGGGCAACGGCACTTGTCTGACTGCACTGTGGCAAGTGTAAAGTTTGGTGGAAACTCTTCTCATAGCTCAAAGAAACAGTTAAAGCTTTAAAATAATAAGGTCAGTGAATTTGGAAGCAATCCGTGTAATTCCTAAAAGCTCAGGCGTCTGATTGCTCTCTGCGCTCAGCTTCAGAGCGTTTTTTCTTTTTAGGCTCTGCATGATGTCATCAAAAAATAGAATACCCATCCTAATATGGTCATCTCAGCTACAGAAGCCCCTCCCATCAGGTTTCATAAAAGGGGAGGAGTTAAAAAGTTTGTTTCAGGCAGCTTGAATAGCCCGGCCCACTATAAGATAAATAAGGATTATTTTGAATTGAGAGTTATGCAAAGCTACTCTATTAGAGTTCAAAAATATAAATATTGAGATGGAAATAAGAAGATGTTCATGAATACTCTGTTGAAGAGGCTTTTGTAAAGTACTCCCTCATCACTGACCTTTGACCTGCTTCCTCGGCTCTCTCACTGTTTGACTTAACTTTCTTTGACTCTCTTCTCCTCTCCTTCCTCTTGTTTTTCCTCCTCCTCCTCCTCCTCCTCAGTGGAGCTCTCCAGCCTGTCTCTCTGTATGACCAACTCTAAACAGGGGGAACCCTGCTTCTACGTGATTGGACGCACTGAAAACACGCGGTTGGTAACTCCGTGTTTTCCCATCTGCTTTCATTTTCTTCACTTTCACTTCATCAACCCTTCATCTTGACTGATCATCAGCTGCAGTCTGCAGCATTATAGTCACATGTGAATAGCCATCAGATTACTGTACTGAGTATTTTAAGTGTTATTATTTGCATGTAAAGCACCACACATATAGGTCCAGTACCTGATAGTGAGTAACCTGACAGTTTTATGTTGTTTCTGTTTAAAGGTACATTACCACCATCTTCTGGTGGTAGTAACATATTACAGCCAACCAGGTCCCGGTAAAAACCCTGACTGGCTTTAAGGTGTAGTGGTTAAAATATTTCTTACATGCAGAAAATCCCCAGTGTGACACGGAGAAGTGACACAGACTGAACTTTAGACTTTAGTGCCATCGTGTTGGTCATTTACACCCAGATTCAGAGGGGTGCCAAGTTAGCAGCTAATGTTAGCAAGCAGATTTAGATACCTAATCACTGCTGATTAAGACATTTGAAAAAAGTATTGAATTTCTGTGACCAGAACTGGAGCAAAAGCTTCACGGACACCTCACAGCAGGCCTTATTATGCTGTTGATTTCATTAAAAGGCATCAACACCACAAACACAAATGAGGCTTCCAGTTCAGTGGCTCATGATGGGAGAGGTGAGGCCCAGCAATCATTCGTTGGTTACACGAGCACACCTGTTCACCAAAGTAGCCACGCCCCTAACAATAATAATTAAAAAAGAGCAAGTTTCAAAACAATTCGACTACTTTGCATTAGAGAAACTGCAGATTTGGCACCTCAGCTTCATTTTTCAGCACTGATGTTTGCATATTTGTAGCAATAGAGAATGTGTATTCTAATATAATAGAGATATAAACCTTCAACAGTGCCAACATCTGAAATGTTTCTATTGTCATATCTTGGCTACATGATCATGAATTTCTGATTGAACCTCCTGCTTCATTTGTCCTGGTTGGGTTTGGTTCAGAGTCTGAACACAAAGCTTCAGACTTTCATATTAGACCCTGATTTTAAAAAAAAAAAAGATTGGAAACATCAGCAGGGCTGGCAACAGCAGAGGTGCCCGTTGGTCACTTTGGTGATTTTTTTTTTTGACAGAAGAAAAACCTACTTTTAAAAAAATAAACAAAAGGAATAACCACAATAATTACTTGCAGATATTCAGATAATTATATTCTGTCTCTGTTTGTCCATAAGGCCCTGAGGAAGGAGCCCTCTCCCCCTCCTCCTCTTCACACACCGAGGAGCTGGATGTGGATACGATAACCATGACAACTGCCTCTCTTAGCCAGGAAATGAGACGAGGAAGTGGTGCGGGAGAAGGAGAGAGGAGGAGGAGAGAGAGAGAAACCAAAAGAAGAACAGGAGGATTAGGATTAGGGCCTCCTGCTCTGGACCTGGACATAGTGGAGGAGGAAGCACGGGTGCTGGAGAGGAGATGGCAAGAGGAGGAGCAAAGGGAGGAGAGGAAGAGAAGAAGTCAGACTGTCAGGCAGATGAAGCAGGATGACCTCAAGGAGCAGGGGAGGAGGAGCAGGAGCTTACCCAGGAGTGATGCCCACCTCAGGGACTCACCTCTGTCAGAGGAGTCCAGAAGAGGAGGGGGAGAGCGGGAGAGGAGAGAGGAGAGAAACAGCAGCACCAACCGCCGTGCAAAGCATGCTGGGAACTCGGCTGCATCTCAGAAGGCAGCGTTCTCCTTCCTCATGCCGCTGGACGATGACAGCAGTGACAGATATCTTTCCGACAGCGAATCAACATCCAGTTTTTCGGAGATGCACCTATCAGCAGCAAGCATCGCCACTGCTGGCTCAAGGGAGGAGTCTGATTGGAGGAGAGCTGAGTTGCCGTTGCAAGATGGAAACGGCCCGGGCCCTTGGCTGAAGCCGAGCACGCAGAGACTGACGCGGGTGCTGACGAGCAGTCAGATCCGTGGGCAGGGACTAGCGGGTGGGCTCTCTCTCTGATTGGCCAGCTGTGAGGGCATTCTCCTCTTTTATTTGCTGATTTTTTTTTTTATTGGCTACTTATCAAGGGCTTTTTTGATTGGCCTGCTGGAGAAGACACACCTCCGTCTGTGTCCAACTGGATGACCACAGAAAACTCTGTTTGTAATTGGCTGGTGGGTGACATAACAGCTACACAGACCTGCCGAACCAACACCTTTAATATTACCCATCATGCCTCAGTACATCCTGAGACCTGTATCATAAAGCTATATCAGGCCGCCATCGCCTGTCAGACAATTTCAACCCTCCACTTATTTTATCTTCCTCTCGGGATTCTGTTTTATTTCGACTTGATTCGAGTAACATCCTAATACGGGTTAGGGTTAGATTACAGCGATTGAAACATTCACCAAATCACCCGAGCTGCCTGTGGACAGCTGAACTCTTTGTGATACAGGCTCCTGGTCTGCAGACCTGATGTGACGTTTCCGTGTGAAACATCACGTCTGCGTTTCATGGCTTCATCATGACCATCTTCACTCGCATCCTTCCAACTTCAAAATGGTATGCAAACAACATCCGAACCGAACAACGGCGCTGTTTCGTGATTCTCTCTGTGTAATCTGAGCATGTGAATATTACTGGAATGATTTTTTTATTTTTATAAACGTGTAACAAAATTATTATTATAACGATATTAGAGATTAAATAGATCCAGAGATGATTTGATTTGCCTGCTTGCTTGTAAAAATGAAAGGAAAATAACCTGATGATGTAACAGAGCCATACACACGCACACACACATACAGATGTCAGGTCCAGCTGTGGTCCTGTCGGCTGTCGAGGAACATAACATCACCATGGCAACATGGCCTGTCTCTATAGCGACAGCCGCGGAGGAGCAGGACGACCTGCAGCTTTGGATCATAACAAGTGCCTCGTTTTGTTTCAGCCTTCGTCCTGCAGACTGTCGCTTCGCAGAAGCTGCAGGCAGAGACGCACGCCGTCACTTCCTGCAGCACGTCAAACAACGCCAAGACCTTTCAGACACCAAAATATCCCATCATGCAACAGCCAATACTGAGTTTAATGCTTTTTATAATTGAGACATACTTGAGCTAAGAATCAGTTTGTGTGCCACAAAAACAAAACGACCCCTCATGTTATCTGAATGTGTCTTCGCCTTAACTCCAGAGGTCCCAAAATTAGGGCGGCAACTAATTATTTTCACTACTGAGTAATCTTCATTGATTTTTTTCCCCTTATAAGATGTCAGAAAATAGTCAAAAGATTGTGCTGTAACTTGTCCAACCCATAAATGCATCTTTTATGGGTTTTCTTGTTGAAAGATGTTTAATTTACATCAAGTGAATCAAAGGAAATCATTAAATCCTGACTTCTTTTCTTCAGGCTTCAGAAAATCTGGCATTTTACCAACTAATTAAATTTATCGATTGATTTTGTAGCTCTGTTTAAAACAACAGGAACAAAATTTACACAGACCTCATCTGTAATCTACAAAAATCTCAAAGTTAAATTAAATATAAATGGGTATATCAGATATCTGCACCCTTAAGACATTTGTTAAGAGTGTGGAAATAGTTCTGTCATTTTATAGACAAATCAATGAGAAGCAACAGTGCAGCCCTGTGTTTGCCATTTGGACTGAGGGTTAGTGTGCACTACAGAGATGTAAATAATATTAAATTAACAGATAAAACCAAAACACTGATTAATGTCCACAGGATGATGTGCAGAAGTTCAAGTTGAATAGTGCAAACAATCACGCACACGTTTCCGCTGAATCGAAATAGCAGAAGAAACAGTGTCTAGATTTTTCTTTTTGTTGTTCACGTAGCAGGTTTTTTAAGCCACATTTAAAATGTTTATTTTGAAGAGTTATTCACGCGAGAGTACTTTATTTAAACAACTAATAACGCTAACAACATGGTAAGGCTCCTTTTAAGGAGGACCTATTCTGCCTTCCCTGAGGTCTCGTAACAAACCAAAGTATTAAACATGTCGAAGTAAAACATGAAAGCCAAAAAATATTTAGAAATTAGTAAAATTATTTATAACAAATATTTTGTTTCTATTTTCACAATAAAATTGGCCAATCACATGGAAGTGGCTGTACAAAGGAACAGTGTAAGATCGGTAAAAGAAAACTACAAATCATGCTACGCTACGTTAGCTGAGTCCCCGAATAAAGACCAAGAGCTGGAAATGAGCAGAATAGGTCTCCTTTCAGAATCACACCGAAGAAATGTAAAGTTTTTAAAACAAAAGATTATATGATGTAAAAATAATAAAATGGTCACTGCTGTCTGCGGACAAAAACTGCAGAACAGTGTTTTCACACCTTATTTGTTGTCATTTATGGGCCGATGTACAGTACGTGCTGATGCTGATGTGTCAGATTAACTTAATGTTTCAGTTTGTGCATCAAAACTCATCCAAAGACTGTTTATGAGATGAAGAAGCTTCACTCTTCACTAACAAAGCTGTAAAACGGCTCATTTTAGACCAATGAATGAAAACTATTTGTTGTCCAGACCCGAAGATGAAGTTTTTTTTTTTGTAAATGTCACCTTTGGACTGTTGAAACGATATTTTAAAAATATAACCGTGAGCCGAGGAAAGTTATTTCATTTTCATAGACAAAACTATTAATCCAAAGCATTTTTCAGCAGGTTGTTAATCAACATTAAAAACAGCTGTTAGCTGGATGAGCTTCTTTTTGACAGAGTGAAACTTCATCCTCCTCCAGCTGCTTGTGTTTCAGGACAGTTAAACTTGATGTCAGATCAATATTTGAGCTGATCAGGGTCACAGCTTTATAGAGGGAAAGGGAATATGACGCTTATGGAAAAAACAGGGTGTAAATATCAGATTTAAAAGCACCTGTTTTGTTTCAAAGATCAACAGTAACCCTTCCCTGTAACAGGTGTTTCTGATTTCACTGTTTGTTTGTTTTTTAAGCTCAATCACGTCTGGAAACAGCTGGACTATTAGTGACTAACCTCAGAGTAAATTTAAGAATATTTTCAAATATGACTTCAAATACAGATTAACCTGTTATTGCCATTACATCGGTTATTGGCAAGTAATTTGTAAGTAGCAAATCAGACTTTATTTTCTATTCAAAGCAAGCTCTCATATTGAATCTATTAAATAACAGGCTTGCTGCTGCATAGAGGGGACAATAACCACTTAACCCTTTCTGATGCCAGAAATCACATTTGCAACACTAATGCAAACGTTACATATATGCTGACTTCACTGACCTTGATTTGCAGCGTAAAAATGAAAAAAGAGAAGAAAGAAGTAAAAATTGTAAAAAGTCTTTTTAATGCATGCCCTGTGAGGGGTTAAGCACCAGTTCACAAATACTCAGGATTCAGAGCCTCACTGAGGTCACGACAGAACATCCCTTTTTCTGCTGAGGACAGTTCACTTCAAAAATCAGTTTTACAGATTTTCTTTCCTTTGAGCTGTTCATCCTTCTAGATGTCTTTGTTGTAAATTGCACAGTTTTGCAGTTTCTTATAGGAACTGCAGGATTTAGAAATCCAACTGCATCACTGTGCAGAAGGAAGAATGGCTCTGTCCATTAGAGAGAGGCAAGTCCTAAACTATACGGCCAACTGAAATCAAGACTGTAAATTTAATAATATTTATTGCTTTGATGTGCTAAAAAAATGCTTTGAAGTTATAAACCACACAAAAATAAATAAACCAACACCTCATCCATCGATCCATTACATCACTTGCATCATTTTAATGTCTGTTTCTATGTTCCATCCACAGCCTTAGCAGTTAAACTACAAACACCACAAACCCCTGTGCTACCCTTTAGCCCCACCCTTCTGCCTCCTGTCTTTTAGGGCATTAGGATGTTTGTCTTCTATGCATTTTCTAAGACTGTATTCTAGTGACTGATTCCCTGATTGGTGCGAGCAGCGCCTAATCACAGGATCGCAGAGTCTGGACTAATGATTCTAACAAAGGATCTGATCATTCAGGTTCTGGTCCAGAGACAACCAGGAAGAGCCAAGTTCACGCTGGACTGAACAGTTTTACCATCAGACCTGCTCCCAGGCAGCAGGATGGAGGAACGCCACTCAGCTGTTTGCTTAATGCAGTTTTTATCTTCAGCAGTTGGCTGTAAACACGCAGAAGTGACTGAAGCAGCTGATCTGATCCGTCAGTGATCGCTCGGTGTCTTTAGATCCAGTCTGACTTTAAAACTCTGAGCTGGACCAACATCAGCTCAGGTAGGCCAAGCTAACTGTCTGCAGCCTTGTTCAATAAACAAGCTCATGTGAAGTGAACTGATTATTTGGGAAAAGATCTTTATTTGCTTTCTGTTCTCAGGTCAGTGCCGGATAAAAATCGCTTTTCCTGACAGCTGAAGCACAGGATAGCAGGCTGAGGATACTGAGGCATGCATGACAAATAAAACATTCAAATTTAAAGCAACACTGTATTGATAAGCATGAGCAAACAAGCAACCTCTATGAAAGAAAACCCTTTGAAAGAAAGAAAGTGCACTTTATTGGTCCCCGTGGGGAAAATCCCTCTCTGCATTTAACCCATTCACTCAGTGAAGCAGTGGACAGCCATTGGGCGCCCGGGGAGCAGTGTGTAGGGACGGTACCTTGCTCAGGGGTACCTCAGGGTAGCTGTTCAGGGGAATCGAACCCCCGACCTTCCGATCATGGGGCCACCACTCTACCTACTGAGCTATCCTCTGCCCTGGGGCTATCCTCTGCCCTATGACCCCAAGAGTTGCTGGAACAAACTTCATAATTTCTTTTCTTCTGGGTACTAGGCACAGGTGTGATTTTTAATCATTCAAAGACTCATTGTGTAGACAAGTATTTAGACACGTGTGAAGCTAACATGTTACAAGTCTGCCACAAATATCAGTTTCAGGTGGAAGGCAATCTTTGAAGAGTACAGCCTTTTACCGTGACTACAGAGCTGATATTAAACCAAGATGAGAATTGAGTAAAAATCCATATTTGATTATTTGTTCAAATAAGGCCTCGTTCACATGAGCATAGAGTAAAGCTTTATATTCAAACACTTGCTAACTCTCCTCCGAGCAGTAGTGAAATTTGAAAGTGTGACACACACTTTTCATCATTGGTCCAAGCCAGGTGGGTCACACCTGCACAGTGTCCTACTGACCTTACTATACAGATGGCAAACATGTCGGAGTTCATTTGAAATACACTATTTGTGCTCACACACTCCAAAGCTGGAGTGTTTCCTTGATGAATACACAAAGGTGGATCCTCTGTCACGAGCCTCTCTAGCACACCGTCCAGGCATCTGCTAATAACAGCAATGTAAAAAAAATGCTCGTGATTTTAGTGGTCGGATGGCGTCCACGCTGACTCAAACTGCAGAAACTGTGTTTGTAAAGACTATTCCAGCATTCCTCCTACAAACAAGCAAAGCTCACTGGTAAAAAGAAATGTGTTCATTTGCATATTAAAAAATGCAATAATAACTTTATAACAATATTTTCAAAAAGCCTGGGTCTCTAAGGTGTTGGGCAACACCAACTTAACATGTTAGTATTTAGCATTGCTGCAGCTCTTCTTTCCTCCTGCAGCAGCTGGGTAATTTAATCACTTATCTGGATCTTTTCAACATGTGCTGTTGGTGTTTTTTTCCCACACAAATAATCTGACTTGCAGTGTGCTAAAGATCATCCAAGAAGTTATTTCCTCAATTTTACAAAAACATTGGCAGCATCAAATAATAATGTAGAGTCTTCAAGACAAATGGCGAAAGAAAAGGTTTCTGGATGTTTTCTGATAATCAGATGAATAAAACCCAAATTACAAGCTGTTAGGTTAAAAAATTGTCTTCACTCGTTCTCATTGCCATTAAATATTGAAAGTTTTACTATTTTTTTTGTATCTATTAAGACCAAGTCTTGCTCATTACTGAAAAAGAAAAACCCCTTTCACACTCTGTTTTCAAACGCCTTAAAAACAGCATTAATTAATTAATTTTTTTACTGGGTCTAATATGATATTCAGTGGTTGAAAACAGTTACGTCTGCACTGGCTCACAGATGCAGCGTGAACATTATTTATTTGGTACGATCACTGATTGGTTATATACAGAGATGGGTAGAGTAACGCGTTACTGTAATCTGATTACTTTTTTCAAGTAACGAGTAAAGTAAGGGATTACTATTGCAAAAACGGTAATTAAATTACCGTTACTTTCCCGGTAATTAAATTACCGTTACTTTCCCGTAGGAACGCTGCGTTACTGCGTTACTAAAACCGTGATTTTCTGCAAGAATGTCTCATGACAGTGACGTAAGCGAGTGAGACGTTAGTGACAACAGCTGTGTGCAGATCAACAATGGATCATATATCGAGTGCGGGAGAGAGTATGAGCGTGCAGCGTTTAAAGCGTGGAAGTACTGACCTTACTTTGAGTTTGATTCCATAAAAAGTGACAAAAACATGAGTGTCCGCTGTGCGTGGGAAGAAAACTTCTTTTTACAGCGAAAAAAACCCCTAAACTTCCAACAAGCACCGAGTAGCTACGACGTAATGGGAAACTCACAGAGAAACTCGCGGATTCTTCCACTGACCGCGGCACACCTGCACCAGGGTAAACCTCCGCCTACCGCAGTCCTGCTTTACAGGTGAAAATAGAGCAACAGGACCGCTGAGGCTTTGACTTTATTTATTTTCTGCTGTGTTTTACTTGCATCTATTTGAAAGACTGAGTGTAAACACAAAAAATATTTTATTTTATGTGCTGGAATGTGCAGAAAATAGGTTTAAATGTTAAACTAATTTATTCAAGTCAGAGAATGTTGCTTATAGTTTAATTTTTACTTGATGCATAAAGTTAAAAGATTAAAACTGATAAAACAAGTTAAAAAAAGAGACTTTTCCATTTGATTACATTTTGTATGATGGATTATGCAGAAAAAGTAGAATTGGGCTGAAAGATATATCGCTCTATCACCTATTCAGGTTGTAAATCGTGTTTTTAAAAAGTAACTAAGTAACTAAGTAATTAATTAGTTTTGAAAATAAGTAATCAGTAAAGTAACGGGATTACTTTTTTGGGGAAGTAATCAGTAATTAGTTACTGATTACTTTTTTCAAGTAACTTGACCAACACTGGTTATATAGGTGGGTAATGTTTTAACAAACGAAGAGAGATCAACAACGCAAACAGAACACAGACAGTAACAGATAAAAACCATTTTATTTATTTTCGCTGTCTTCAAGTTATTAACAAAGAAATGGAAGGAATCCAATCTGCCAAATTAAACATGTATTCAAGCTATCATGCAGCACTCTTTGAATTGACATGTTGACAAAATATCATAATAGATAAATGTTAGAATAAAAATTAGAGAGTTAATTTAACTTATAGGACCTAAAAGGTATTGATGCATTTTTCCTCTCACGACGGTTTGGAGGTAAAGGATGTGGAAAAGGGTCTGGTTTTATAACTTCCTGTGTGTGTTCTGGCTTGGCAGGATATGATGTAAGGGATAAGTGTTGATGCCAGTGAATAACGGACTTTAATGTGTCAGTAATGTCAGTATCAGCAACCTCAACCAAACAACAAAACAATAAAACAGTTTATACAATGAATGAAGTGAATTTGTGCTTCACTTAAGTAATATCACAGGGTGTTCATCTCATCACCATTAAAAAAACTTGCATTTCATTAGGTTTTTGTGGTATTTAAACTTGTGATTTAACGGCCTTTTATGTGGCAGAGATAAAGGAGACATTTATCTCTGCCACATAAAGACACCGTGTGCAGCACAAACGTTTTGAATCCACAGCAGAGCAGCAGACATGGCAAAGACTTGGAGGACCAGATGAACCTGGGGCTAACGTCTCAGTGCAGAGTAGAAGAAGATCACTGAAACCCTGAAACCTCACAGTGTCAGTTCTTGATCCAGCTCTCAGTAAAACAGCCGAGTTACAGTATCTACGCTACGGATGGGAATCGATAAGAATTTTGTGATTCTGATTCGATTTTCATTGGCTCCATTTTAAGAGTCACCATCGTCACTAAGCAGCAAGAAGAAATGACATTCATGCAAATTAATTGCATGCTGGAGTCAAACGTCTGTGCGTGTTTGAGGTATTTGCCCTCGTTGTTGTAGTCAGTGTTTAATATTACACAGAATACACAGAATGCTTTTCTTAAAAGTAATGCAGTATGTTACTTAATTAGCTCTGGGAGCAAGTAAAATAGCTGAAACACTCTGTCTCATAATCACCATTTAACTACAGCCCCATGCACCAGTGCAAATCCCTAATAAGGACACAGACAGGAGGACTAACAATTCCAAGAAACTGGAATACTGGGAACCGGTTTTCTACAGGAACCGACAACCTGCTGCTGCTCCAAGCTCAGTGGATCATCACAGCTCGTCCACTCGTCGTCCTGTTTGCTCTCATTGTTACACAGATTATCACTCCAACCTGCAGAGACAAGAAACAGGTGTATTAAATAAGTCACTTCAAAAGCTGTCACTCAGAGATGCAGCACATCTAGCCTGTTCACAGCTGCAGTGGAGGTGTGGCCTATCTTAGCCTATCTTAGCTTCTCTGAGCTTTCATGTCAACTTGTACACTCACTAACCTACACGTTTGAACATCGAGTCTGTTGTTCCACAGTGGAAGAGTCATAAATGATCCACGAACATCTTTTTAAAAAATGTATTTCCTGCTGCTCAGTTTAACACAAACATCTTTGTGACGGCTTTCTGTAATATCACCCGGCTAGTAAACATGGAAGCAGCCATGAAAGACATGGCTAAGTTAGCTATGAAATATAGAAATATAGATCTGAATGTTATCTCAGATGTGTACTGTATATTTGTATATTTGTTTGGAATTATTTCTATTGCAGTACAATACTGCTGAATGCAACACAGAGTGACTCCAGCTCTTTACTGACCTCAGGGTCTCCAGTCTATAGTCAGGACTTTCCTTAAGATCCAACAGCTGCTTCACATCTGGATCCCGTAGGTTGTTTTGGCTCAGATCGAGCTCCCTCAGATGGGAGTGGTTGGTCTTTAAAGCTGAGACCAAAAAAGTACAGCTGATCGCTGACACACTGCAGCCCCTCAATCTGAGAAATGAATGAAACATTTAAGTTTAGACAGATTTTAAAATTATAACCTGTTTAATAATCTGAAGCTAAAGACGGTATAGGATGTAAAAGGTTAGGAAACAGAGACTTCAAACACCTCAAACCAACAAGATATTTTATTCAGCAGAAAAACTCATAAAAAGTAGTTTAATATAACTGATAGATTCAATAAAGACACAATCAAACAAATCCTGTGCATCAGACAAGTCAAAAATGTATCCTTTCAGCCCAAGTTCATCAAGCCATAAAATGGAAATGTTAACAAAATGATGATCAATACTTATAAAACATTTTTATTTAAATAAACATGAAAATATATTTGATTGTCATCTGTCATTAATGATCCAAAAAATGAGTCCATCACA